CGCCGCGCAATTTGCCGCGCGCAGCTCGAATCGCACGAATGTACCGTCCCCCAGTGAGGATTGTCAAAATGTAAATTAAAAGGAGCTTGTTTTTGTCAATACGACCATTTTCGTCGGTAGCGTAAGAATGTTCCTCTCCATGAGCTTATCGTGAGGAGATGCAGCGCCAATCTACCAAGACAGGTGGTTACATACCACCCTTACCTGTGGTGCTGTATTCAGTCAATAATATAAATAATACATTTTATCCAGACAAGGCGTAACAAATGCCATAGAATATGTTGTCGAACCAAAAGATCGCTGGTGAGTGAACCCGACAACTGACCTCACAATTGTGTAGTATGTGCTATCCTAGTGATGACACAAAAACACATAGATGAACGAGCAGAGAATTATCAATGCACACAACAGATACGATAGATTTGTAAGGGAAGGAAGCGAAGAAAATAATTGGTCAGCAGTGCCTATTTATGTGAGTACTATCAATGAAAGTTAGTAAACAAGTGATTCAAAAGTGATAGGATTCCATCAACATTCCACGAACTTGTAGCCAACTGCCAACAGAAACCGTCTTGACCACTCATAACCAAACGTTATCCACCCCTTCGGACGACATTGTCAGCGATATAAGGCTACACGGAAGTCTCTGGGGAATGTTGAGGTTTACAACATTAACAAAACTGGACAAGGTTCAAAGACATGGCGCACAGCGCTGTGTCAGTTTGTTTGCAGCTGACTAAAGTGGTCAATAGTGCCAGATAGCGGCTACAAGTATCACGAGCGTTGTTGCAATTTTGCAGAGAATGAAAAAAAAACGAAGAATCTGCTATGAGCAGCTTTTGAACGACGTGATGGAAATGTGGGGAAAAGGCAGGAATAGCCCCGTCAAGAACGAATCAACAACCACTCCGGCACCTTGGCCATGTTCAGAAAAACAGAAATACATAAATAAGTGCCAATGAGGAAAGGCATGATGATGGATACGATAAGAGAAGAAGCATTAGC